ATATATATTGTTTGTTTTTTGTTTTTTGAGACAGGGTCTAACTAGATAGTTGAGACTGACCTGGAACTCACTGTAGCCCAGGCTGGTCTGGAACTCACAGTGATCCTCCTGCCTCAGCGTCCAAGATTACAGACATGCACCACCACGCCTGGCTGGTTTATATATTTTTGAATTGAATAAATGTATTCTAGGTCTGTATTAGATGTTGCTAAGATCATTTGAAGAGACACATACAGTTACCTTAATTTTACGTTAATTTTGGTATATATTATTTTCACCATTTAGATGATCTTGTATGTGTTAAAAGTATGAATTAGATATTAGTAATATCTAAAATTACATTAACTTGAGATTACTTTGACTATTTGTATTCATATTTTAGAAGTGAATTTTATTGAAATTGGCATCCTTATAAAATTGAATTGAAACATAATCTGCTTTATTTTGTCTTTTCTTAAAACAGTCAAGTGGATTATAGAGCAAAACTGTGGGCTTGCAACTTTTGTTATCAAAGGAATCAGGTAACTACCCCTCCGCTCAAGTTGGAGATGGTAATGCTATAATACTAGTCATATAGAAAATATATATTTAAAAATAAATATAATCGCTTCTTGGCCTTTTGGCTAAGGTCAAGTGTAGAAATAAAGATAAAATAATTATCATTCATGTAGTAAAATATCTTTCCTAACAATTTCAAGATCAAGAAGTAGGGGCTGGGATGTAGCTCAGTGGCACAGTGCCTGCCTGGCAAGCATGGGGTCCTGAGTTCAATCTTGTTATCAAAAAAAAAAGTAATTGGGCTGGGGATTTGGCTGAGTGGTTCTTCTAACTGCTGTGCAAGTGCAAGGGCCAGAGTTCCATCCCCGGTCCCCCCCCCAAAAAAAAGAAGTAATTATTTTTACTTTAAAAATTTATTGCTGTTTTTGGCAAATAATTTCTTAAAAAGTTTCATGTTTTTCTTTCTGTAGTTTCCACCTACTTATGCTGGGATATCTGAACTGAATCAGCCTGCTGAACTTTTGCCTCAGTTTTCTAGCATTGAATATGTAGTTCTGGTAAGAACGTTAGAGCAAATGTTTAAGAAAGTTAAACATTTACTAAATAGTTCACACCAAAATAATTGCTAGGTTTAGGTGACTTACTAAGTGCCATCACATGTTGAATTGATGGAGTGATTCAAAGAGAAGAACTGTTAGGCCAGCTTTAGTAAGATAGTTTCTCTGTTGTAGTTATTTGATGTTAGCCAGATACTGGCTAGGGTGATGTGATTTGCTACCCTGAATAGATCAATAAACAATAAAATTTCAATCTTGTTTTGTAACTGGAAGGTCCATTCACAAATAGCCAATATGATTCTAGACTCTGCCATGTATCTCCAGGTCTAATTAATGAAAATATTCTTGAGTTGAGAAAATAATTTTCTTTGCTGTCTGATCAGCTGCACATAGAGTTGTTTAATATTTAAGTATGGAAATAATAGCATCCTTTGTGAATGTTGGAGACAAAACAGAATTTGAGCTAGAAACCAGCCTGGCTAGTTTCTTGTATTTTGGTGTCAGGGATCAAACTCAGGACCTTGTGCTTGCGAAGCAGGCAGTGGTTACCACTGAGCTAAATCCCCAGCCCCAGCCTGGCTAATTTCTGAGTCTCTGAAAAGGCAATTCAAGTTTAGAAAATTATATAAAAATTATCTTTTTTACACTTTATGTTGCCATCTTTCTTTTTTTAATTTTTTAATTTTTTTGTTTTTTGAGATAAGGTATCTCTGTAGTTTAGGCTGGCCTTGAACTTGCTTTGTAGCCCAGGCTGGCCTTGAACTCTCAGTGATTTTCCTGCCTCAGCCTCCTAAATGCTGGGATTATAGCCATGCAATGTTATACCTAGTAACTGTATGTATGTTTTTTTTTCTTTTTATTGAGTTTATTGGTACATTCTAGGTATACAGTACAGTTACATTCATTACTGTGATCTTGTACCTTTACATGACAGGTCTTGGTTCTCATTTTTTCCCCTTGTCCCTGCCCTCCCTTCACCCCCTCCTACCCTCCCCATTTACAAACACTTTATTTCCATTTTCTCATATTTTTTTCTTTTCCCTTAATCCCTTTCCCCCACCCTTCCCACTTTCCCTACACCTTTAGCCCTTTTCTTCCTATTTCACATTGTCAATTATCTCATTAGGATCTTATGTACAATTATAGTTTTTCACACCAGAGAAACTATTCGGTATTTATACATGTGTGACTTATTTATTTCACTTAGGAGTATATCCTCAAAATGTGTCCATTTTCCTATGAATTACTCTAATTGTATGTCATGTTTTTAAACCTAATTTTTCATTCAATAATGCTGTGTCTTGAATATCTCTCCACAACAGCAGATATAACTCATTTCATTCTGTTGTGGCTCTATTAGAATTTCATCTTATACATGTATTAGGATTCTGTTGTATGCATCATTTTATTAATCTGACTGTTTTAAATGTTATGCTGAAGTGTTTCTACCTTTAAAAAAACTTACTTTTCTTATTGTAAAAATTTTTTTTTTAAAAGCGTGGTCCTCAGATGCCTTTGATATTCCTCTATGTGGTTGATACTTGCATGGAAGATGAAGATTTACAAGCTCTGAAAGAATCCATGCAGATGTCTTTAAGTCTCTTGCCACCTACGGCTTTGGTTGGACTTATTACTTTTGGGAGAATGGTGCAGGTTCATGAACTTGGATGTGAAGGCATTTCAAAAAGTTACGTCTTCAGAGGAACAAAAGATCTGTCTGCCAAACAACTGCAGGTAAATACGGTAGTTTTCTACCTATCTGTGCCATCACTTTATCTATGCTTATAAATGCCTTCTAGATGTATATTTCTAGAAAATAAAAAAATAATGAATGATCTGAATGATAGAACTTTTTATAACAGAGGCTTTATTTTAGTGTTGACCTTCATTTACTTTTGTGTGTCTTGAATTGGTATATAAGATTGAAGACTCTTTACTTTTGATGTATTTTAAAAATTTAAAGTGAAACAAGGTGTTTTACTGGAACTTTTAGGGCTTACAGCAGAGTCATGCTGAAGGCTAACAGAGAGCAACCATACAGTACATTTTAGCTTTTGCTTCTTGACATTTCATTTCGGAACTAAACATTTTCACTGTTTGGCAAGGGGAAATATTTTGAGATATGAGTTATTATGTGAAAATAATATTTTTAATGATGTTTATCATTTGTGAAAACTGGAAGAGACAAGAGAGTCACTTGTAACATAATAGGATCGTGTGGAAATGTTTTAAAAAATTTTATTTAAGGTTGGGTGTGGTGCATATACTTGTAATCCTAGCACTTGGGAGGCTGAGGCAGAAGGATTGCTATGAGTTCATGGCCAGCTTGGGCAACAAAGTGAGTTCAGAGCCAGCCTGAACTACGTGGTGAGACCGTATCTCAAAAAACCAAAACCAAAAAAAAAGAATTTTTTTCCCAGAGGTTTTTGTAGCCTATGAGAGAATAAATGAATGTGTATGTGTATTGCACTGTTGCTGACAGGGTGGGGTTGATCATGTAACTATTTTGAAGAAACTTTCTGTGATTCTCATCCAGCACCTAGTGGACAGTGGTCACCCTCGGAAATGATCAATAAATCTGATACAAAACCTATAGACATGAAACTACAATTTGGAGGTAGCTGGGTAGATCAGAATGTAAAAGAAGGGCTCAGTGGTTCTGCCACCTGCCTTGCAAGCACAAGGACCGGAGTTTGATATCCGGTACCAAGAAAAAAAAACAGTAAAAGAATAGAGATTTTTGAGGGTTACTTTAATTTGAGGGTTGGCAGACTAGGATAGTGGTACTGTAGTTAATTTAAGAACATTCTGGAAGAATTTGCAGCCTTGGGTAGGGAGGAAATGAGTAGTAAATGAATGGTGAATAAAATTAATATTTGTTCTTTTAAGAGGTTTGTTCTTAAAAATAAGGAAAGAGACAGTATAGGAATTTGAGTTAAAAGTTAAAGATATTTATTTTAGGAGGAGGGGCACTTGAGTGTGTTTTACACAGTAGGAGAAAGAGACTAGAGGGTGAGTATAAGAAAGTGAGAGTGAGATGAATAGTGAAGGTTTAGAAGACACAGTAGGTATTCCTTAAAGAGCTACCTTGAAGAGCTGCATATGGTGGCACACATTTGTAATCCCAGGACTTGGGAGGCTGAAGCAGGAGGATTGCCATAAGTTTGAGGCTAGCCTGGGCTACTAGTGAGTTCAAGGCCAACCTGAACTATATAGAGAGACCCCATTCCAAAAAACCATGGGAGTAGGAGGGGTGGGGTGGTGGTGGTGGAGAATCTCCTAGACAGTCAGCAAGCCAAGCTAACAAAGCCAAAAAGTCAGATGGATTGTGGATGTGGTCCACAATCTATTGTAGGACCACATCAAGCAAGCAAAGTAAGTAAACAAAAAGGGGAAAATAAAGGAATTAATATCAGAAATATAATGCAGTGATAGGAATAAGTCAGTACCTTTCAATAATAACTCAATGTAAACAGCTTCAACACCCAATTAAAAGACACAGATTGCAGACTGGGTCAAGAAACAAAACCCAATGATCTGCTTCACTCAAGAAACTTAATCAAAAAGTAAATATGTAGACTAAAAGAAAATGAAGAACAATATTCTATAAACCAAGGTTCTGAAACAAGCAGGGCTAGCAATTTTAATCTCAAAGTAAACTTCAAGCTAAAAGCTCAGAAGAGGCAAAGAGAGTCACTATATTCTAATTAAGGGAACAATTCATAGGAAGAGATAACAATTGTAAATATATATGAACTGAATATTGGGTAATTTTATAAAATAAGCACTACTGGACATAAAAGATTGATAAACACAAACACAATCTATTGTAGGACCACAGTACCCCACTTTCACAAATAGATCAACCAATCAAAAAATTAACAAAGAAAATGTCATTTGAACCATACCTTTGAACAAATGAACTGATATCTACAGAGTGTTGCACCCTACAACAGAATACACATTCTTCTCAGCAGCACACAAAACTTTCTCCAAAGTAGATCTCATACTGGTCTATAAAGCTTTCATAAATAAATACAACAGAGTCAAAATCATCCCACATATAGTGTTAGGTCATAGTGCACTGAAACTAGAAATCAATCACAAAAGAAATGCCAGACATTTTACAAATACCTAGACATTAAATACATACTCCTAAAAACTTAGTGGGTTATTGAAGAAATTAAGCAATTCCTAAAGTCAAACAGTAATGTTAGTACAACATACCAAAGCCATAGGGGAAACAAAGCATACCTAAGAGGAAATTTATTGCTGTGAATGCTTAAATGGGAAAGAGTGGGCTCAAATAAATATCCTAATGATATACCTTGATATATTAAAAAAAATAAGAACAGTCTGAACCAAAACCTATTACAAAGAGGGAAATCATAAAGATTAGACCTGAAATGCATGAAATTGAGACTTAAAAAAAAATACAAAGAATCAATAGATCGAAGAGCTGGTTCTTTGAAAGAATAAGCAAATAGATACACTCTTTGCCAAATTTGACAAAAGAAGGAAGGAGAAGACCGACATCCATGCAATTTGAAATAAAAAAGGCAAAATCATAATGGACACTACCCAAATCCAGAAGATCATTAGTAACTACTATGAGAAACGGTACTTCAACAAATTGGAGAATCTTGAAGAAATGGACACATTTCTAGACACATATGAATTACCTAAAATGAACCAAGAAGATATAAAAATGCAACAATCCAGTGACAGGCAATTAAATTGAGTCATTAATAAAAAAACTTAATGACTAAGAAAAGCTTACTGTTTGATGGGTTCACTGCTAAGTTTTATCTATAAGACCTTAAAGAAGGATATAATGCCAGTATTCCTCAAACTATTTAATGAAATTGAAAGTGAGGGCTGGAGATGTAGCTCAGTTGTGCTGTGTCTGCCTGGAAAACTCAAGGGCCTGAGTTTGATTCCTGGTACTGGGAAAAAAAGAGAAATTGAAAGTGAAAGAGTACTTTCAAAGTCATTCCTGGAAGGTGACATTACCTTGACTTCAAATCCAGACAAGGACCCATCTAAATAAGAAAACCAGAGGCCAATCTCTTTAATGAACTTAGATGCAGATATTCTCAGGCAGATATTGGCAAATAGAATGCAACAAGTCATCCAAAGGGACACACATCATGACCAAGTAGGCTTCTCTAAGGGATACAAGGATGGTTCAAAATATGGAAATGAAAAATGTAATATACCATACAAACAGAAGAACAAAAAGCACGTGATCATAGTCCTAGGACCAACAACCAAATTCAGCAGTGTAATAGGATACAAAATCAACACACAAAAATGAAAACATTCCTGTACATAAATAATGAACTCATTTAGAAAGAAATTAAGAAAACAATACTGTTCCCAATAGCAACAAGAAAAATTACTTAGGAGTTAACCTAATCAAGGAAGTGAAAGAATTCTACAATGTAAACTACAATATCCTGAAAAAATTAAAGAGGACATTGGAAAATGGAAGGATATCCTGTGCACCTGGAGGAGCAGAACCAGTATTTTCAAATTGGCCATACTTCCAAAACTAATATACCGATTTAATGCTATCCCAAGCAAATTACAAAAGCATTCCTCACAGAACTAGAGAAAACAATCCTGAAATTCATATGGAATCAGAAGAGACCCAGGATAGCAAAAGCGGTCTTGAGTAACAACAGCAAATGAGATGGTAATTGAAATCCCAGATTTAAAATTATATTACAAAGCTACACTGTTAAAACAGCGTAGTTATTGTCAGAAAAACAATATACTTGATCAGTGAAACAGAATAGAGGATGCAGAAACAACCTGAGGCACATTTAAGTATTTGATCTTTGACATGGGGAGCAAAAACATTTGCTGGAGGAGAGATAGTCCCTTTAATAAATGGTGTTGGAAAAAATTGCTAGCCACATGCAGAAGTTTGAATCTAGACCCATATCTTTCACCATGTACTAAAATAAAATGAAAATTAATCAAATGTCTGAATGTTAGAACCACTTAATCTCCTGGAAGATAAAATAGGTACAACTTTTTGAAGACAGGTGTTGGCAAGGATTTTCTGAACTGAATCCCAGTTGCACAAGAAATAACATTAAGAATCAACAAATGGGATCATATATTAAAAAATTTCTGCACATCAGAGGAAACCAACAGACTGAAAAGATAATCTACAGAATGAAAAAAATTTGCCAGCTATTCCTTTGACAGAAAACTAGAATATATAAATAACTCAACAAAAATTAGACCCTCAAATAAAATCAAACAGTGGGTACTTGAAACGAATAGATTCTTCTCAGAAGAACAAATAGTGAATAAATACATGAAAAAATGCTCAACATCACTGGCCATTATCTCACTGAGATTCATTCTTGCTATTATCAAGTCAAATAACATGCTGGCCAGGCTGCAGGAAAAAGGAACTCTTGGGCATTGTTGATAACAATGTAAATTAGTATAACTACTATGGAAACAAGTATGCAGTTTCCTAAAAAAACTAGAGATTCCATTCTACCCAACTATTTACCTTCTAGGTATCTTCCTAGATGAGTTTAAGATATTATAATGACACATACATTCTCATGTTTATAACAGTACAAATCATAATAGCTAAATCTTGGAAGTGGCCAGGAGTCCATCAACAGATGAACAGACAGTGAAAATGTTATATTTATACACAGTGGAGTACTACTGTACTATAAAGAAGGATAAAATTGAGTCATTTGCAGGAAAGTGAATGCACTTTGAGACCATATGTTAAATGAAATAAATCAGACCCACAAGCTAAAATATTGGATGGTTTCTCTTATATGGGAAACCCAAAATATAAATAAATCAAAGATAAACAATAATAGGAAACAGGTCAATAGAATATTTATAAATGGGAGGTTGATCAAGAGATGGAGGAGTGAAGGGGGAGGGGAAGGGAATGTAGAAAGAATTACAATGTTATGTACATGTACTTCCCACAATGAATGTGATCATTATGTATTGCAAATATGCACTAATAAAAATGGTTTTGTTAGTAGTGTAACTTTGGAAAAAGTAATTCGTTTTTCTGATTGTCAGTTATTGGTATGGTAGAAATTAAGAAATCTACTTATTGTGATTTTTTTTGTGTAAATACTACATATAAAGAGTTTAGCTCAGAAATGAGCAGAGTAGGTCCTTAGCAAAAATTTGCTTGTTGCTATTTCTGATAGCAATATAGGACATACTACAGGGTTAATTAAAAACATTTTTTAATCTTTGAAGCTATTTAGTATTTCTGATTGTTTTATATTTTCTACTATATTGCTTCATGACTAAGCATTTCTGGGTTCAGAAAAGCCTTAGTAAAACAGTATTTTTATGTCTAGAGATCGATTTTTAAAATTCAAAACATAGCTTGCAGTTTGGTTAGACATTAAGTTAGAAATTAATACATACACATTTACAAGGTATATATAATTTATGACTCTCCCTTCATATGATTTCATTTACCTTTCCTTCTTTCTTCTTTTTTTAATTTGTGTTTTGAGACAGGGTCTCGCTATGTAGTTCAGGCTGGCCTTGAACTCGCTGTATAGCCCAGGCTGGCCTCTTACTCCCAGCGATCCTTCTGCCTCAGCCTCCTGAGTATTGGGATTACAGGTGTGTGCCACCATGCCTGGCTTACCTTTCCTTCAAAACATTTATTACAATTGCAATTTTACACTATTATTTGATTATTTGAGTAATTCGTTTCTGTTTTCAGATTTTAATTTCTGTGAGTTTAGGGACTATTTTTTCCTCACTTACCTTTCACATATAGCAGATATTTAACATAGAGTTGCTGAAAGGTTTGAATGAACACAGAAGTATGGACATTGAAGTTACAGAACCACTGATTTTGTTTTTGTCTAAATTTTGTGAAATTTTATCAGTACATGTTTGTAGTACATAAAGATGATTCATGAAGATGGTTGATCCAGGAGTTTTCCTAAATATTCTTTGAAGTCTCTCAATCTGTTTCTTTTATTTTTCAACCTGTTTCTTTCTTCTTTTAAAAAAAGTTTATTTTTACTAGTCCATGTTTGTAGTATATCATGATTACATTTACGAGGGGGACATGGTACATGTATGTAACACATCTTAATTCTTACACCCCCTCCCCTTCTCTCTCCCCACTTCCTCCATCTCTTGGTCTCTCCCATTTGTGGAAAGAACAACTTACTTTTTCAAAGAACAACTTCGTTTGATTATTAATTAGAAATAAAATATTCCAAGTTAGCATCCTTCCTCTTTGCTCACATAACACCTTGTACTTTGATCTCTCTTGTCGATTATTTCACTGCATTTTTATTATTTTTCTGAAAGTCTCCCAGCTGAACTGTTTGCTTTCTGAGGAGAGAGACCTTGTGTTCGTTATGTTTGTGTACCTACTGTATAACAACACCTTGCACATAGTAAATCTTTGTAGAAATAATATAAATAAGTATCGCTCAACTAATCTCTTTTCAGGAAATGCTGGGGCTTTCTAAAGTACCAGTTACTCAAGCAACACGTGGACCTCAGGTACAGCAGCCACCTCCTTCCAACAGGTAATAATTAATTATGGCAAACAGAATTTTGTGATTTATATAGCTACTTTAAGCACTGTGGGCCCTTAACTTGAATATTCGCATTTAGTAATAATATTAAATCTTTTTTGCAACATAGTTGAATTCCATTAATATACTTTTTAAAGCATTAAGGCAGGATCATGTCACTGAAATGCTTTGCTTTTCATCATTGCAATATAAGTTTAGTTTTGATATATTCTTAGCTTTTTGTGTTTGGATTCATAAAAATGTAATTTTTGTGGGTTTGAGGCAGCCAAAGAAAAATATGGCCCTGAAAGCGTTTCATTTTGTCATCTCAACTTTAGAAGTAGATTTTTTTTCTCCTGAACTCTCTAATCAGAGGTGGTCTTCTTATAATTATTTCAGGAACTTTAAATCTTGCTAGATGAGTAGATAAAAGATGAAACTACAAAGTAGCACTTGGCTTGAGTGTGTTGATAAAGGGAGTGTCAAAGTGTGGTTCCTGGAAGTGTAGCATCATCATTACCTGTGCACTAGATTGAAATTCAGGCTCTTGGTTGCGCAGACCTGCTGAAATGAACTTCAGACTGGGCCTAGCGGACAGTTTTAAAACAAACATTCCAACTGATTCTGAGGCATGTGCAAGTTAGAAACCATTAGTTTGCTGTGTATGCAAAGTGTTTTTCTGTATTTTGCATTGTTTCTTAAAAGCTCACACACATTTATACATAACTTATTGTTTTGCAGATTTTTACAGCCAGTACAGAAAATAGACATGAATCTCACAGATCTTCTGGGAGAACTTCAGCGAGATCCTTGGCCTGTTCCCCAGGGAAAGAGACCCTTGCGTTCCTCGGGAGTGGCTCTTTCCATAGCAGTAGGGCTACTTGAGGTAGTGATGATGCATTTGTTTTGGAATGTAACTGTGTATGTGTGTGTGTGTGTGTGTGTGTGTGTGTGTGTGTGTGTGTGTAATCCTAAGGATAGGGGAAAGAAAAAATCAAATTAGAGTGCTTTTTCTTATTACTCTCTCAGTCAGTATTCAATATACTTCTGTCACCTCAGATATGTGTGGGTTTTAAACTGTAGACTAAACGTACTGCAATAGTTACCAGCCAGATAAGCTGTAATTCAATTTGATTCTGACACTGTCTACATAGAGAACATCAGATGTCACAGACTAAGTGTTGAGTTCCATGAGATTGGCCCCTAATTCAATGCCATTTGCATCTGGTAGGTTGTCACCTCTCTTGAGACTAGTCAGTTGTAAACTGGGGGTTCCCATAACCTGCTCTTCAAGTTTGATTGATTTTCTAGAGTGCCTCACAGACTTGAGGAAGCACTTTACTTATATTTACCTAGTTTTTATAAAGTATATTCCAAAGAAACAGCAGATGTTACTTAGAGTGAGAGATGGACCTTCCATAGCCTCTCCCGGTCATTCCATCCTCCACGAGGCACCGTGTTGCTTAACTCTCCAGAAGCTCCCAGAACCTAGCCTTTTAGATTTCTTGTAGAGGCTTTATTACATAGCATGATTGAATACATCATAGCTCACCGTAGTTCAATGAGAAATTTTTCATTATACTGTATTAAAATTAGTAAAATAGGGCTGGGGATTTAGCTCAGCGGTTCGGTGGCCTGCCTCGCAAGCGCAGGGACCTGAGTTCAATCCCCGGTACCAAAAAAAAAAAAAAAAAAAATTAGTAAAATGATTAATGGTTAATTGTCTTTTAGTACCGGTGGTCCCTCCTATATGTATATTCAGGTGTTTTATTCTAACACTTTTTTGTTGGATATTATAGTTTTAAGTATCAATTTTGTTGAGTTTTTTATCTTTAAGCACTTCAATTATATATACACTGGATCTTCCCTGTTTGCTATTTTAGCACTGTATCTTTTTTTAAAAAAATACTTTTCTATTTCATTTCCATTCTCTTGATTATTTTTTAGCTTTTCTTCAGTGTTCCTAAATTTTCATTTGAATCTGGCAGTTGTTATAGGCCTATTGCTAGCTTTTCTTTTTTCTGTTTTAGTACTTTTCTCCAAGTTGCCCTTGATCTATGTGAAGACTTGCAATGAGAACATGAGAGATAGCTCAGTGGGATTAGTGCTTTTTTTTTACTTATAGAAAATTTGAAAATCAGAGGTAATTTGTGAAAGTCATGTTAATGTACTTTTATTTGTTCGTGTTCTTTTTTTTGTTTGTTTTTTGAGGCAAGATCTCACTATGTAGTTCAGGTTGGCCTTGAACTCCTGTGTAGCCCAGATTGGCCTCAAACTCACGGCAGTCCTCTTGCCTCATCCCAAGTGCTGGGATTACAGGCGTGTGCCACCATGCCTGGCCTGTTCTTGTTATTCATTGTTACTTAATCTTTACATAATTATTACCTCAGATAACCAGAACGAAGGGTATTGCTTATTAAATTAGTTTAAGAAAGTTATAGAAGTAATGAACATGCTTTGTAAAAATGTTCAAATAATGTACAAGGATGTCTAAAAATGAAAAGTAAAATAATTTTCATTGTTTTCCCCAGATTTGTTAATCATATAATATTTTAAATTGTTGCAGTTTATATAATTTACCTTCTGTCCTGAAACAATAATGTAACTTGAAAAATATAGTCATTTGTCTGATAACTAATAATAAGGAAGCATTTTAATATATAAATATTGTAGAAGAAGAATAATTATATATATATATAGAAAAGTAAATATAATCCTTTGTCA